AAATAAAAATTATAAAAATTACTTAATTACAATACTGCCCTTTTTAAATTATTTATATATAATAAAAGTTAATTTATTAATTAAAAAAGTTTGTGGTTATTGAGTTGTTCTCGCATTTTCGTAAATCACAGGGGTTCTCGTTTGAACCTCCACCTATATATATATATATATATAGAGAGAGAGAGAGAGAGAGAGGGGTGAGTTATTATGCAACCTTTTACATTTGTACAATCAATACAACTCAATCTTAACCGTCCATTTAATTTGGTAAATATGTGATTTCATAAAAGTTCAGATTGTTTCCTAATATAAAATATTGATCATAATTAATTAACTTTAGTCATCTTTCATAAATATTTAAATCATAATAAATGAACTTTCATTATTTTCATAAATATCTCAATTGATTGAGTTGCATTGGTTGTACAAATATGATAAGTTGCATTTGAAACATCATATATATATATAGAGAGAGAGAGAGAGAGAGAGAGTGTGTGTGTTCGTTTCAAATACAACTCATCGCATTTGTACAAACAATGCAACCCAATAAATTGAGATATTTATGGAAATGATGAGAGTTTATTTATTATTATTTGAATATTTATGGAAGATGAATAAGATTCATTAATTATAATCAATATTTTATATTAGAAAATAATAAAAACTTCTATGAAATCAAATATTAATCAAATGAAATAGATGGTTGAGATTAAGTTGTGTTGGTTGTACAAATGTCAAATGTTATATAATAAATAACCTATATATATATATATATATATATATATAATATATAGAGTTTGTGGTTGTTAAGTCATTCACAACTTTCATTCGTGTCTCTCTTTTTTTATGCGAAATGGGAAAGGTTAGGATATACCGTAATCGGATATATATATATATATATATATATATATATATTATAATTACACATAATGCTTGTATCACATCATTTGACACATATAAACACATACAGATTAGAGTATATATTTCTACTTAAAGTCGAGAAAATATTGGATATATAATGCCTATTATGTATGGTAACAGAAAGTCTTTGCTAATTAAAAATTCTAAATAGTCCACACTTATTTATGATGACAAAATTGTCGTCAATCTATTTTCGTGAAACATTGTGAAAGTACAAACCTTCACAACAAACACGTCTAAATATAAGTGAGTATTATCATATTGATAATATTTACATCACAAAACATCTATTGATGTAAATATATATATGATCACATATGATTTACAAAAACATCTACAGTTAACACATATGACTGATACGATCATCGAACAAATTATTATATTCGATAAAAACTTATAATCAAGCTCTTACAGATTTATCTCCCTCTGTGTGTGTGGATGTATAGTTGAGATCCCGTGAGAAAGAAGTTAAGATGAGATGCATAAGAAAAGATGTTCACCCTTATATGCATATTAGGATGAGATGTACCAAGATACATCAGATCAATCCCTGCATCAAACGTGATTCATGGATGAGTTTGAGATTAAAGGTGATCATTGGCCCAAAACCCTCCTTACGCTTCTCACCTTAAATCTCCTTCTCACATAACCTTTTACATATATATATATATATATATATATATATAGCCAAAGGTTATTTTGAGACATGATAAATATTTGAGAAGTAAAGAAGTGTTCTAGCCTTTCATACAGTCAAAATCGGATTTGACTGATCAATAATTGCGACTATACGAAAAATAGATAGGGTAATTTCATAACTTTTATAGATAGGTGGAAAAGATCATGGCATATAAGACACTCATGAAAAATCTTATTGAACACCATATGGTTATGAATACAATCTTCTGAACTCCTATGGTTATGCACACATTCTTATAAACACCTATGAATACATATGAGCACATTCTTATGAATATTTTATTGTTATGAACATATTCTTATAAACACCTATGAACATCATTAACTATCATAAAAGTAACTTACACATAAAAAATTGCAACATCTCATTAAATACCATAAAAGTAACTTCCACATAAAAACTAATTATTTGTCCTTCATTATTAAATCAAACATTTAAAATAAGATCTACTAAAGAATTAATATTATTAGTCAAATAAGTTTACAAAGTTAATATCATATTTTCGGTTAACAAAATATGTTAACTCTCTCTCTCTCTATATATGTGAGAGAGAGAGAGAGAGAGACTACTTGAGATAATGGGCGGCAACAAGATAATTTCATCTCCCAACTATCTATGTATATATGACTTACTATTAATTCTTTTTTGACAAAATATATATGCACTCACTATTAAAAAAGAAAGTTACGAATTTATATGGAATTAATATTGTGTAAGAAGATATCATCTAATATGTATTTTTTTATTAACCTAGATATTCGATCCATTATACGAACTGACTAATATATATGTCTTTGTAGCACTAAGAGATGAAACTAATTTAATTCTTTTAATTACGGTGCATACGCTTTAATTTGTCGAATATAGTCACAAGTGATGAAATTAGATCGTTTTTAGAGTACCCTTTTATAAAAGAACTCAAATATGAATAGGGTGGATGACGATGGCTTGAGTTGGATATATCACATTCTTTCTTTACTTTAGTTTCAAATCTAAATTATAAATTAATGATAAAGGTAATTTGGTAATTCAACATTTTTGTAACCCCCAATAATTAATTGGGAGTTACAAATCTTAAAAGATAC